CCCCCTTTAAACTTTCAGTCCGTCACTGTCGGATTATATGTTTGTGTGTCATACACATAGAATTTTAGATTGGAGTGCCCCAGCAGTTGAGCAGGTTTGGTCTGAGATTGGAAATGACGCATTGCCTGACTGAAGAGGGCACACCCTCCATTCTAGCTCACTTCCCAAGTGAAAGGAGAAGCAAAAGGAGTATAGTGAATGGGAGAGTATATAAACGGAATGGGACGGGGAGAGAGCCCCAGCCAAAGGAGGAAAGTGCAGGAAGGCCTGAGATTGGGCAATGTTTGATTCTTCATCATTCCCGGCTATATAGTATGTCACTTTCTAGGCGCATTCTAAGTCGCTTTCAATGTGACAGGAGAAGCAAAAGGGATGCGGAAAAAAGGGAACGACGGGGAGATGGCCTACATAAGAGGAAGCGGACGGTGAAGGAAGGCTTGATTGGGCTTTCCCTCAGACTTCACTTCAGCATACAGTTAGAATGTTCAGCACGCCGGGAGAAAAAATGCCCAGTAAGAATGCGGGGTGCCCCCTTTAAACTTTCAGTCCGTCACGGTCGGATTATATGTATGTGTGTCATACACATATAATTTTAGATTGGAGTGCCCCAGCAGTTGAGCAGGTTTAGTCTGAGATTGGGAAATGCTGCATTGCCGGCTGAAGAGGGCACACCCTCCATTCTAGCTCACTTCCTTGAAAGGAGAAGCAAAAGGAGTATAGTGAATGGGAGAGTATATAAAGGGAATGGGACGGGGAGAGAGCCCCAGCCAAAGGAGGAAAGTGGAGCCTGCCGGACCCAAGGAGAGCAACTCTCCCGACAGGTCGCCCATGTTGATGAAATTGATGAAGTTGACAGTGCTGGATACTTGCTATTGTTCACTGGTGGTGCAGATAGAATGCACTCGATCATCAAAGGCTTTCTACACACAGAACATATTTGTTTACTCCCATATGGATTCGTGTATGCTCTCAATTCTCAGCCCTTGACATGTTCACATTTTTTCACTTCTTGCACTATGCTTCATCTCAGCCGCATGACAACATCATCAACACCACACCACACCACAACCCTGGAAGCACCCTAACTAACTTGTGAAACATTCTAACTCCAGGACGCTGACTGACACTTAGAATGCTACCAAATAAGGCCTCCCTGCATGCCCAACCCAATCATTGCCCGGTGTGAAAACGCATTCTAACTTTCAGTCCGTCGCTATAATTAGGAAAGGACAAGGGAAAGGACAGCAGCAGTAGGGTGGGCGACCAGAAAAACGTCGGCGAGGGTGTGCAATACTTGGTGTGGATTTGCGACAGGGTGACCTTTAAACAGTTGGTCGTGGCAGGCCCACTACATTGACCAAAGTAGTGCCGATTTCGTGGCACCGAAGCGGGGTTGCAAGCTACAAAAGCCACCAAACGCTGAAGGCACCACAAAATAAAGCGACAACTGCACACCCTCTTACCCAATCAATGAGGGGCCTATCCACCACAGGACAGTGAAAGGATGCTTGCAGCCGCTTGCAACACAAAAGAACTTAGGCGGGTTCGTGCAACATTTGGTGCGAGCGACGGGTGCCTGGGTGACCTTTAGAAAACCTGTCGTGATAGGCCCAGCTGATTGGCAAAAGATGCAGATTTCGTGGCGCTGGAGGGGGGTTGGGGGGGCGCGCGCCTCCCCCTCAGAGCGAGCCAAACATCAAACGCCATCAGACTCAAAAGGCACCACGACAACATAGATCGCCATCACTACACACCCCATTGCCTCATCAATGAAGGGCACTCAGAAAGTGACGCAAGGACCAAGGCAACTACAGTAGCGCTTTGTTTTCGCAAAACCTCGTTATTTTCGCAATGGACCACGAGGCCAGCGGACAGGAAAGCGACCAGGAGACCAGTGGACTAGGAGACCAAGCGACTAGGGGACCACTGGACCAGGAGACCGAAGGACCACCGGACCAGGAGACAAAGGGCCTAGGGGCCTAGGGGACCACTGAACTCGAAGACTGGATTGTGTTTTGCTCCTTTACGTTTTTATTAATGATCATTGATCATGTTTTTCTTTTGACCCTTTACTTTTTTGATCCAGATGCCGCCAGAAGCAATGTAAGTTAAGTTGAGGTAATGAGACTCAGACTTTCCAACATCGCATCTTTAAGAATCTTTAACACATCTGACCTGAAAAGCACACAACAACTTTGGACGGCTGAGGTTCCAAAGGCCATGTTGCCCAAAACCTCTGTGCTGTGTGCTAAACTCTTCAACTGCGACTTCACCTCCATGGCTTCCTTACCTCGGCTTGACCATTGCTCCACAATTCCAGTTTCCCTTTCAAAACTGCCAGCGGAAGGAACATGCCGAACCACCTGCCAGCACCTTCCAACAGCTTGGTCTCACCCTTACATGATAATAGGCCCGGAAGATACACCTGCTGGACCCACCAACGTGCTAACTTCTAGCCTGGACACCTTGCTTCTCCAAGGACTTCGAGGACCGCGCCGCATTCCGTCGCTTCAGCTCGGCAGGCGTGATCTCCCCGTGAACCAAATTCAAGAGGAGCCAGGCATCCTCAGAGGAGATCCAGGTTCCTTGTCACGGATCATATTGATCGACCCAGTTGAAAAGCACGGCAAGGAACTTCTAACTTCTGCAGTTTTTGTTCGATAAAATCATCATAGAACTGGAACATCTTAGTGAACCAAATGATTTTCTTGAGCATGATTACATAGAAACCATAGACCATAGACACAATCTTCGATACTCGTAAGGGTTGGGCTCCCTAACCGATGAACGACAGTGGAAAACCATGTCTGAAACCACTGCTGGTTGATGTTTCACATCTACAGTACATCTTTTGTGTCAAGCATGTCGCCGCGGGGGTGCAACTCAAAATCTATAATATGATGATGCGTCTGTATGTGTCCTAAAATCACCGCAGAAATGAGGGGCACCCGCCTATCCACAATATATAACATAGCATCATTTATAGTATAAAATATGCAATTATACTATAAACCTTGCATGTTATATACAAATGCAATTGTATTATATTATTGCAATCATACTAACAAATGCAATTATACTTCAAACCTTCTGCTTCGAGCAAGTCTCGATCTTGTTGACTGACTTTCTCTCTGAGTCGGAGTAGTAGAGGTTGCCCTTCTGGTCCAACGACACCCACTCACTACTCACGTCGCTCACCACCGTTACCTCTTGACCTTAGCGAGTGAAAGATGCCCAATGGGATGCACAGAAGGATCCAAATCATTCGAATCGTGTCCATTAACTTATATAATTAGGCTGCTGGGCCTCCAAAACAAACAAACATGTCACATTGTGGAGCCTCTCTTCGTTCTCCAAGCGGCTCGCATGCAGGACCCATGGAAGGTCACAGCGCCCAGGACCCTCAGCCGCATCAGTGGTGAAGGGGTCCGACACCGCTGCACCCAGCAAACCGGCCTTCTCCGCCGGTGTGAAGCATCGCTCCAAGTACAGCTGCCAGGCTCGAATCCTCCTGGGTCAGTGTCGAAGCCATGGGTGCGAGCGTCTTGCCATGAGGGTCATGCCGAATGGATGGGTCCTGAAAAACATACATCCCCGGTATGTAGATGGGCTCTGAGAAACACAGGGCATGATCAAAGGATATTCAATGACCTTTTGCCTTGGAAGTGGGTAGTCTTCAAGACAATTAAATCCAAGAACCGCCGGTGGTGACTCGGTCCACGTTAACTAATTCTCGTTGGTTTTGGTGTCATGTTTGTTTGGTTTGTCGTTGCAAGTTCTTGAAATATCTTGAAATGTCATTTTGAGATTTGAGATATACTGTTTTTTGACTTATATCTTATTTTGAAGTCTTAAAGTATGGTTTCTCCTGGTCGAAGAGTGAGGGCCCAGGCAAAGAAACAGGCGGGAATGGCTGGGGCTTCAACGAATCGCCGCCCATTTTTCGGTGAAGCTATCGAACCGAGGCTGCCGAGGCACCTCAAGCCAGGATCTGCCACAAAAAGCCGGTTGTGGCGACGGTCAAAGGCCAAGCCCTTTGGACTGCTAACACCTTTGATGAGAGGCTTCACCAGGCCCCGTACTGCTCGGTAATCGTCGCCAATTTGCGAATAGCCTAGGCCGAATGCCGGTTGGAGGCACTGGAAGTAGATGTCTAAAATCGCTTTAGGGGGCTGGTCGGTTCCAAATCTGACTCCAACTGAGACAGCTGGGATTCCGGATGGCCTGCCTACCCGTTCGGATGCATCCGATTTGTTCTCGCTGGTGATTTCCACCGGTCCCCACCTTGGGCCTTGGGTCTCCAAAGGACACCCCCAGGGGCCTCGCTACGAACGGAACCTGGTGGGCCTCGCTACGAAGGGGACGCTCAATGGCCCTACTACAGTACTACATGGTAACAAGGACGTGACTATCCAAGGCCTGGCCTTAACAGACAGAAAAAGCCTGGCCTTACTGTTGGTAACAAACATGAACACTCCCAGGCTTCCACTTCGGCCCCAACTCCCCAAGGCTTCGCCGGTGCACTGACCATTCGCTCCGCCGGGCTGGACACGATGAGGAAGCGCGGTGGCAAGGGTGGTGGCGGGTAGATCGACCAAGTGGATGGCTTCAGCAGAACGTCCTGAGACCGCGAGCCTCGAACTGGGATCTGGAACAAAGACTTAGGACCTAGGACATCCTAGGACCATCCGGCTCCATTGTGGACCTCAATGGAATACTTGCGGGACCTTGCGGCTTGGGCCACCCATTGGATGGTCCTGGCATGCTTTGCGAAGTCTTTGCGAGGTTTTTGTTGGCATCATTTACAGTACAGTAGAAGATTTGTGGAAGGATTTGTGGGAGTTCACATTGCTATCTACTTGGGGGTTGCTTCAGTGTCACTGGAAAAGAAAACGCACGGAAGCAAACACGCGAAACAAACAGCAAGTGGGGCTCCGCGAGCGCAGCTTCCCTCCCCATAGGTCCTCCACCGCTGAAACGTCGGCCCGGAGCGAGGTGCTCCAGGCAAAGCCAGGCAGAAGGACGCCCAAGGCCACATAGGCCAGCGCTGTCATCAGCGCACTACACTGGAATGGGGGATTGATGCCAGCTGCCCTAAGGCAGCTTCATGACCATCCGGAGCCAAAACATGTCAAACATTTTGAGCACACATTGACATACCAACCAGCAGATTGGAAGAGTTGGGACACTTGGCGTCTTTTGGTCCTTGTTCAGTGGTTGAATCTTCAGAATTGGCTTTGAGATACCCTACGAACTTCCCACAGCAACTCCTGACTTGGAAGATGAACTTGTGAGCGACAAAGAAGGACTCACACGGACGCGTCGACCTTTCTCAAAGAATGTGATGTATACTGTATTATGGATATTAGAATAAGCTACTAGGAACAAGTGCATCGCTTCTAGTAACAAGTATAACAAGTGCCTTACTAGTAGTAACAAGAAGCTATTAGGAACAAATAACTACTAATTAATTAGAATTTAATTGTTTTTCCTCCTACTTCGCACTCAGATACACCAAGTTACGGCGCGTGACTTGGGGCCGCGACTCGGTGGTCCGGCTGAGACTCCCGGCGGCATTCCAACGCCAAATTCGATGCATCCCCTGGATCCTGGGCATCCACGATACGCCCGCGGTGCAGTGCCTGTTGCATCCAATTGCTATGGAGATCTATGGAGAGACACCCCACATGAGATTGGGAAAATCCATACTGTGCAGGCTGTGAGAAAGTATGCGAAAAGTGATCGAACAATATCGAACACACAAGTCGGAGGCCCGTGCATGTATCATGATGGCCAGCATTGATAAGCAATGAGCTTCAGCAAACAAATAGTAAAGCTTTGTCTTACCCTCCTGCACAGCAACATGTAGCCCGTGCAATCTTGCATTGATTAGGGCGATTAGGGGCGACTTTAGCTCCATCAATGAGGCACTTTCGCCAGAGAAAGAGCATTTGCACCGGGCAGCCACGCCTCAGACCGGAGGAGGAAGACGTCCTCGGGGTAAGCGGTGGCAGCCGCCAGCATCGCCAAGAAAGCCTTGGGCACGACAGGAAGGAGATCCAAACCCAGCCGAATGTGCTCACGGCTGGGCATTGATGCGGATGCGATGGTGGGGTGGGATGGCAAGAGAGACGGCAACTTGGAGAGGAATCATCTATCCTTATTTATGTCATTCAGTAGGTTGGGAAGGCTGGCGAAGGGAGGCGGGAGTGTGCGTGCTGGTGTGGAGGGCTTAGGGGACTGACGCCTTGGGAGCTCACCTCAGTCATCTCCAAGAGGTCTCCTAAGACGAGAACCGCGTGCCAAGGGTGGGAAAGCTGCCAACAGGCAGCAGCAGCAGGGATTGAATCCCAGAAAACAGTCCTGGGTTTACTCGAGTGGTCAGCTCACGTTTGCTCCACCATACAATGCTCCTCTCCTTTCATTTGTATTTAAATAGGGCCCACTTCCTAGTCGACCGTCAAATACGGACACCTCATTGCAAGGCCTGCACGTTCATTCACGTCCTCCACCAAATAGAAAGAAATCCAAATCAAGCGGGCCCCCCCTTGCTATCCACTCGGACCATGAAACGTAGCTTGCAGAACCATTTCCATTCAAGCGTTTCTGTCACAAGGCGCAACTTTCTCGTTGTTCATCGAGGTTTCTCACATCAACTGAACTTCAGGCACATGAGAAATGTGGTCCAAACTGCAGGACGAATCCCCACCAAGGAGCATCCAGCTTGGCAGCCCCAGGCCTCATGAAGACATAGACCTGCACCATCGGCATCGAGCCGTCAAGTCCGAGCCATCGACATCCGTCAGCGGCTCACACATGCGACGCAGCGACGAGGTGGCTGAGTCAAGAATCCCAAAACTGGACGGTGGTCTCAATGCGATGCGGCGGCAAGGCATTGGGTTTATATAGAGGTTTGTTGTAGCATGAGTTGGTGGGTGGGGGCAATTGCGCCGCGGATTTTTCTGGCTGGCTGCAAGACCTGCAAGAAAGGCCGAAAAGCAAAGCTTCGGGAAGATTGTGAATACGTTGGGTCGATACTATGAATAGGATAATAGGACAAAACAAAGGAATTGCATGTTTTTTTGAATATTTCTGTCCCATTTTCCGAATCAGACCCTCACAGTCTTGGTGGCATGGTGAAGGGCTCCTCATGAAGGGAGGGCCTGTGAAAACGGTTTGTGATGATGATGCAACGGAAATTGACCCCTGGCGGCCCAATCTCTCTGAACGGTTTCCAGTCTACTACATTGGATCGCAATCAGTTCCATCTCTACGCCTGTTGGGAGGACAATCCCAACGTCTCCAACCTCACCCCTCCCCACATTGAATGGGCACAGAGTCAACTGGACTACTCGAACAGCCCGTGCCTGGTCAACTGGTGCCTGTGCCAACAGCTTGGAAGTCCTTCCCTCCTCTCTCTCTGGCAAGTCACTGCTCCCGATTGTCCAGGCCAGCCGGTGGTCTCAAACAACTCACGCAACCTCAGGAAAAACCACGCAACCTCACGGAGTTTCCCCGAAGTAACGTAGCATGCTGCGGCCGCGTTTGTACATATGAGATGTACATACAAATATAAAATAAACAACATGCAACACACACACATATATATGTACTATGATGTTCATGTCATATATTATATTATGTATTATATTGTATTATACAGTATGTTCAATCTTTGACTCTCGGGCAGGTGTTGTACTGTTTGTGGGAGGGTGTCCCATTAGTTCCTCCAATGAAGCAGGGCTGATGCCAGCTGACCTCACCGTAGATTGTGCCGAGTTATACCAGTCCCTCAAAACTCTTGGGTTGCCAGAAAAAGTGTGGGTGGGTGGGTGGGGTATATACGTCTTGGAACTCAAGCACTGTGAAGCCGCTGCGGGACTTGCGCTCTCCCTTTTTTGTCAAATCTGCATGCATCTCGCCCGGCTTGGCCGGATGTGGAGGTACCTGCCGATCGTTCTGGGCAGGTCAAAACGAGGAGACGCTGATTTTTGTTGGGGTGGTGAAGATTGCCACTGACATAGACCAAGTGATTGATGCAGTTCAACATGTCCACACCGGTGGTTCTGAAAGAGGAACCTTGACTCACGACCCTGCTGACCAAGGTACTGATTCTTTAACCCCTCCCTACAACCTCCAGCATCACCGACACCGACCTTCTCTGCCACCTCCAGCAGCTCCTGCAATGCAGACCGCTGTGCAGGCGTGAGCTGCGCCAAACGCGTGGCAAGGGCCTCACCTGAGACTGCTGAGATTCTCAACGGCGAAGCAGCATGCATTTCCCATGATTCCCGCCTCCGCATCCCAGTCTATACTACTATATTCTCTTATATATACCAATCTCCCACTCTCTGCAATGGTGATGTCATAGTTAAATCACTTCGTGGCCAAACGCTCTTGTGCGGCAAGTGGGTGAACAAAATAGAGGACCGGTCGGACATGCAAGCTGGATGGGAGGCTGGGAGCAAGCTGCCCTCCCATCCATTTCCCTCTATATACTCCTACCAGGCCCTACCAACTAACATCCAAGGACCTACAAGTCTAGCAGAGATGAAGGATTTGGAACTTCAGATGTAGGGCAGGTCTACTTGCTTGCTGAGCTGCAGGAATCCATCGAAGATAGTGTCGCGCGCGCATCCTCTGCCTTCAGCCAACCAAGGACAAAACAAGATAAACAAGGAACTTACAACCTTTGACCCTTTTGACACGGAGATCTCTTTCAACTACCCCACTGGGTGTTGTGCAATCTATTCTGATGTCAATGAATGTCAATGAACCCATAGTATAATTAGCATATAATTCCATATATTTCCTAAATTCCTAGGTGGGGGAAGTGAAAAAACCGGATCAATTCCAAGATCCTCCCCATAGCTTCGGCGCGCACCCGTGCTCAACCAAGGTTGTTGTGACCCAGTCCCAGTCCAGCTTGCGTTCTGGCTTTTGCTGACCTGGTTGCATGTCCCAGGATCACGTGGGTCCACTAGCTCTCAATGACGGAGTTGGACACCGAATGGGGAGGTCACCGTAAATGGAACTGAATGCCTACCAGTGCGAAAAGACATTCATGGGACTATGTAGTCTCTTACAATCTGTGAGGGGACGGCAGAGACGGCACCGGATGTGAAATGCTTTCAAAAGCATTGGGACCCCCCATCATGTAACCAGGTAGCATTTCGGTGGGTCGGTCTACCATGGTCCAATGAGCACGCTCACTCACTCGGTGGTAGCGACTCAAGCAAGCCACGTCCATGCGAATGGTTCGCTGCTCAGACAAAGCGCTGGCCTCAACGCTAGGGAACTCGGACGAAAATATCACGGGTGGAAATCCGGGCCTTCCTTTTCATCAAGACATGAGTTGAGGATGTTGACTGTTGTAACACCATGTCAACAATGGTGCACATGCTTTATTCTAAAGAATGCATATAGTTGGTTTCTTTTTTAAAGCGCATGTTCATACAGAAGTCAACACCAAGAGATTGGCATTCCGCATGATTGAACAAACAACAGGTTGGAATGCCCAGTTCTGCGCACCGGAGCGGCGGCGTTCCACACCTTTCGCCCCTCGACCCCTTCGGCAGAACTGACGGCCAACGATCAATCACCTGGTTCAGTGCATTACATGTTATATACATGTCTCAAAACATGGGATTGACCAGGTAGAGAATCGAAGATTCATTTATCGCTTTTCTTGTGGAACATGGAATCTGGGCGCCGCATTTCAATAGGGAGACCTCCCAAAGACCCCTTGGAACAAGGAATTTAGACCAACACCCAGTGGTTGAGAATCTGCCTATGTGTTACGAGAAGAGTCGGTGCACGCTGATGAAACCCGAAGTGACATGAACACACAACTTCGTTCGTTTGTCCGATTTTTCGAGTGGCTGAATCCTTCGAAGCATTGGGCGAAAGTTTCAGTTTGCCTAGGTGGACTTCGTCGCCTTGGTTATCTTAGTGCTACCTCCTATGTTCATGGACAGTTCATTTTCCCTCATGGTTCGGCTACATGTCGGAACCTGTGGGATTACTTTCACCAGGGTCGTAGATCCACCAACCTCTTGGCGGCCTCTACGGGACGAGTCGGAAGGGCCTCTTCGACTTAGATTTAGCTTCACTTGCACAGGTTGAGGATTTAAGTTCAGTATGTCTACCTTACGCAAAGCAAAGGGTAGCCATTGCATGAGACGCATGCGTGAAACGACAAAGACCAAAAAAACACCCAGTGGTTGAGGGTCTCCATTTTAAAATGCACACCCATCTGGGACAATCTGGGCGCATCTGGGCGCATTTTATCATGACTCCTATGACTTTGCATGCCCCCCACAAACATTGAAGGCATTGAAGGTGGCAAGTATCAAGCTTTCGGAAACCTTGGCCTTTCATTTGGCAACCGGCAGTACCTGGTGGCAGGGGACACTTGTGTGGAGATGAGACGCACGTTCAATCTTGCGACCCCTTGCTTTCTGTCAAGCTGCAAGGATGGGTTCAAGGTCATCTTTCAAACTCGAAGCAGCAGATTCGCAGCTTCCTTGCTCCTCACATGCACTGGTTTGAGTCAAATGGTTGCTCCTAGAGGTCCTAGAGTTGGTGGACCAGAATATTGCAGAAGTATACATATATACTTATATAAGAATCTTGAAACCTCTGGCAGCAATCATTCAGTGGCATTCTGATGGAGGGCCACCATCAGAACTTGCTGCCGTAAGGAGCGCCATAAGCAAGCACTGCGAAACTTTTTGGCAACTGCTCCATTGACCTGAGATTGCTAATCTCTGCTGTGCGGCTGTGCTCCTATCCCGGCGAGAAGCATTGCAAGCACTTCGCTGCAAGCATCGCCGAGAACAAGCCTTGAACCTTTCGCTGCACCCCTCAACATCTTCAGCCGGATGTGGCCTTCCACATTCTGCTGGACAACTGACTCTGTCCCAGCTCCACATCTACTCGGGACGGAGTAGGCGCGGAGTAGGCGCCAGGTGGTGGGCAGGCACGAAGCACATGAGGAGAGGTTCGCGAAAACATCAGCCACGCAGGCTGCGCATGTAGTTGGCCGCTTCAGCACTTCCAAGCCTCTGGCCTTGAAGAGACGAGGTTGGGCAATCAACTGCAGTTCTATGTGTGGAACATGGTCAAACTGATTGGTGTTTTTGCGGAGCCCAGGCGATCCCCTCGATTCCCCTAGTCGCGGTTTTGGCCCCAAGAGCCCAAACACAATGCAGGGGCAATCATGACTGCAACGATTTCCAGGGAAGAAACGATGTGCACCACGGTGTGATTGGACAACGTGAAGAAACTCTGTACCAGGACAATTCTCTGCAAGGAGCTGCGACATTCTCTCTGGGCCATTTCGGGAAGATCCTTCCCAAAAGGGAGCTCTGATTTCAACCACGTCATGTCCGAGTGGCTGATCTCACTCTCTGGAACCCTGGACAGCCAGGCGTTCCGCAAGGCCGTGGCGCTGAGGTCGGCGGAAAGCTGTGGAGGAGCATCGATCTCGAGGACTTGGAAGGGTAAGGCTTCAGAATTGATCAAGGTCCTGGGCGTCTGAATTGCCAGAGCAGTGCAACGTTTTTTGTAGGGTACCATGGAGACAAGGCACCCTATCATAAAAAAAACCTATTTATAGAAGCAAAATGAAGCAACAATGCAAATGGAGGTGGGATAGGTGGCCTGAGAACGTGGGTCACCTACACCATCCACGACCCAGTGAGGACTTCTCAGCAAGCACTTCACGATACTAACCGCAAAACAAGAAAAGATTGATTCTTCGTGGAGCACTGGAAGCGTGATCAAGGGTGCCGTTCAGTGGGGCCTTCGATGTCTTTGCAACGCCGTGCAAGCATGTGTCCGTTGCGAGGGCCGGTTGTGGACAACGCAAAGTCGAAACTTGCCATCTTGCAAAACCTTGGCTGCGACAAGTGCACAAGGGCAGCGGCTTAGAACTGAAGGGTGCTGCCAGGCAATATTGGTTGGACACGTTATGGAATGGCTCTTGGAAGAGCGTCAAGCAACAAATTCAAACAGGTGTCGACTGGAAGATGGGACTGGAGATGTGTGTGTATATGCATGTTACACAAGATTTCTCCTGATTTAATGTTGAATCCGTCCACAAAACAGTGCTAAAAGACTCAACTCCAAAACGAATTCTGTAGAACGGCAAAACTGAGCACAAACTCGAAAAACTCAAATCAAACTCCGATTTGAGTCAAACTCCAAAAAAGCTCAACAAGTACTCAAGGAGCAAGTCAGGAGTATTTATCAATTAGTGATAATTAGTGAGTTTTGTTTGAGTTCGTTTTGAAACCAATTTGAGCCTCTCAATCGAGTTGCTTTCGAACCTGAGTTTCTCCTTTGCCTCTTTTTTTTTGCTGTCTGGACCGGACCCACGAATTCAACTTCAAGGAGCTTTCTCCATTTGCTTGGAGTGCCAAGAGTGTGGATCAAGGAACTTCTCCCTGGCACATCAGGCAGTTATTCTTCACCAGTGGTCTGTCAGCATCCATGACTGTCTCCCACTAGAGTGTCGGAGCTCAAGCATGCTCATCAACCCATGAGAAGTTACACTTTCCTTAACCACCGTGGGATCTGGTGAGTTACGAGGCCAAACCAACATGGAAACCTGCAAGGAGCCTATTACCGGGGAACACCGCGTAAATTGGTTTGAACCACAAGGTCCTCAAAAGACACTAACGTGGAAACATTTTGGTCAGGGGGGGGGGTCATGAACCTGTATTTCTCTAGGAAAACCTAAGGTAGCTGGAAGAATTGGTCAACGCACTGGTTTCTAGGTTAGCGTCTTCAAGCTATTTTCAATAAAAAATGCTCATCCTGAGAGTTGCCAGGTTAGCGCAACCTGAGGCAACTTGAGTAATTGGTCATTTCACTGGTTTCTAGGTTAGCGTGTTGAAGCTGTGGTTCTTTACAAATAACATCAAATAATATTAAAAATGCTCATCCTGAGAGTTGCCAGGTTAGCGCAACCTGAGGCAGCTTGAGGAATTGGTCATTTCACTGGTTTCTAGGTTAGCGTGTTGAAGCTGTGGTTCTTCACAAATAACATTAAAAATGTTCATCCTGAGAGTTGCCAGGTTAGCGCAACCTGAGGCTGCTTGAGGAATTGGTCATTTCATTGGTTTCTAGGTTAGCGTGTTGAAGCTGTGGTTCTTTACAAATAACATCAAATAACATTAAAAATGTTCATCCTGAGGGTTGCAATGTTAGCGCCACCTGAGGCGCCTTCAGGAATTGGTCATTACACTGGTTTCTAGGTTAGCGTGTTGAAGCTGTGGTTCTTTACAAATAACATCAAAAATTCTCATCCTGAGAGTTGCCACTGAGGCAGCTTGAGGAATTGGTCATTTCACTGGTTTCAAGGTTAGCGTGTTGAAGCTGTGGTTCTTTACAAACAACACTTAAAAAACTCATACTGACCATTGCCATGGTAACGCAACCTGAGGCAGCTTGACGAATTTGTCATTTCACTGGTTTCTAGGTTAGCGTCTTGAAGCTGTGGTTCTTTACAAACAACATTTAACAAGCTCATACTAAGCATTGCCATGTTAGCTCAACCTGGGTCGCTTGAGGAATTGGTAATTACACTGGTTTCTAGGTTAGCGTGTTGAAGCTATGGTTTTTTACAAACAACATTCAAAAAACTCATACTGACCATTGCCATGTTAGCTCAACCCGGGGCAGCTTGAGGAATTGGTCATTTCACTGGTTTCTAGGTTAGTTCCTTGCAGGGAATATATAAACATTTCATCCTGAAAATTGCCAGGTTAGCTCAACCTGAGGCAGCTTGAAGAATTGGTATTCCCGAGTACCTATTTAAACATCAACCGTATTTTTCATGGATTACTTTTTTGGTTTGAAACTCTTTCCAGGTGACCCTATTTTGGACCCCCCGATTTCAGGGACCCCCTATTAGAAAAAAATGCGACCGAGGTTTCCTTATTGGGGGGGGTGGGCCCTCGTGTTTTTTAATAGGTGGAAGGGATTAATTACACTGGCTTCTAGGGTAGCGTTTTGAAGTTGCGGTTCCTTTGAAAAGGAACATTAAAAAAGAAATAACACATCCTGAGCATTGCAATGTTAGCTCATTTTCCGCCTCTCGGGCCTGTCCGGTTTCTTGGTGAAACAGGCCATTGTCTGTGGAGACCCCAAAACCAACATGAAATCATGCGCCGAGTGCTAAATTAGCCTCTTGAACATGTTTGTATTTGCTCCGTAGGTTTGGGAGCTCCTGCGTAGTGTGCCCAGCCCCTGACAGCCATCGGTAACCGGTAACCATATTGGTCACTGTATTGAATCTAGACCTGTCCAATGGCAAGGTGGGCCGACCATTAAAGAATGGGAGTGAACTCCACAAGTCCAGAGCTCACTAACATGGAAATAATCTAAAATGGAGCTCTCAGCTTCTACCGTGACAAAAACAAGTCCAGGGCTCACTAACATGGAAACTCGACAAACAACAACTAACAAAGAAACTGACAGCCCGTGCAACGACAATTCGGGACAGGTCCACTAACGTGAAAAAATAAAAAAATAATCCATTTGCTGTTTCTACGGTGGTTAAGGGGAGAGTACCCAGCTGTATGATAAGGTGACCTGAACCATGCTTCAGACCAACAAAAAGCGAAGCCTGAAGGAACCCCGTAAAGCAACGCCCCCGTCTCCAGCCCGATTGGTGGCCTGAAATGAGGGAACGCATCGTCTCCCATGACCCAAATGATCTCGATCACGTTCGCAAGACCTTGCAAAGAAGCTGCCTTCAATCGACTCCTGCGACCTTTGGACTCTTGAAAGTGCATGTCGCGATACATATCCCATCATATCCCTGGGGAAGATAAGAAGACTCTCCAAAGCTTGGGAAAATGTCACTCAAGTCTATGAAATCTATGAACATTAAACTGAGCCAGCCTTACAATGAGATCCGCGTGCAGCACACGATCGACCCTATTGAAATCATGACCGCATCTAAATGAAGCCGTGCTCCTTGCTCCAAGAGTTTGACCTGGGACAGACTGCACCGAACATCGCCTCACATTCCTAGCGAGACACCTGCTTGAAAGCCCGTGAGATGCGTCATGGCCGCAGACATGTTGCCACGCAAGGCGCGGAGATGCTCTAAGTTGCTTCCCTTCCTTCGCGCGCTGCTGGATCGGTTGATGAATAAAATGAACAGAATGGACATATTTTACAATCCAACTATTTGTTGCGATGCTCTTCGCAATGTATGCATGTATGTATGTATGAATGGATGTATATATGTGTGTATGGATGTATGCATGCATGTATTTTAGAAAAACATTTGTGCATTGTCTTTAGGGCGATGTTTCGATCTCAAATCCAACAAGGGACCATCCCAAAACGATGGAAAGGCCCGAGGCCTCCAAAAACGCAGGGGACGAGCACACATCACAAAGCTTGCTATCTTCGTCAGCCCAGCATCCCTCGAAGGATGGCAAAGGGATCCTCACGTGTACAGCTCTGACTAGCAACATGTGCACATGTGCAAATGCTTTAGCCACTGCTTTAACTTTAGCCGTGCATTCCTGAAGAGAGTTCTTGGAGAGAATGGAGCAACCAGCACCTTTGTGGCTAGGATACATTAAGAGCATCCTACCTGGAGCCCAAACCTGCACCGCTGAAAGAAGCACAGAAAACTGGCAAGCTCCCAAGCAACTCATTCATCATGGCCCCTGGCTCAACCCTCCTAACACTGCTGCCGCGGCTCCAGCATGACCCAATCTTCCTTGGAGATGATGAGCTCTAGAATTCTCAATCGCACCAGGTCCGTTGCCAAGATCGATGATTGATCTTCCAATTTCCTCCGCACCGACGCACGAGATGCGAAGGGATTTCGGAAAGGAACCTGCTGCGAAGGACACTTGAGACGAGTACCATCATCCCTCCTGATACTTCCAGCCCACCCCCAGTGAGTATTCCAAGGCACTTGTACGCCAAATGCCCAAAGGGTTGAGGCTGCACGTAAGCACCAAGCAAATTTAGCTCACTCTGTAGGCCCCTCCAGGCAGCTCGCAAGCAGTTCAAATGCCCCAGATGGAATGGAGCAAAAGATCCAGGATACCAAAGGATAGACCCTTCCTAAGTCGTAAATCGTAACATTGCTGTATCATCTGGCGCATCTGCAAGAATATCAACGCACTGATCTAATCAATGGGATGGTCACCTATCATACCATACCATACCATACCTATCATGCTTTGGATTGTTCACTTAGACTTTGATCCTGCTACATATCTTATATCTAGATCCCGTTCTGTCACGGTCCGAAAGCAAACCACTGAGTTTCGGATCATGTCGTTCTGGGATGTACTCGTGTTAGCTTCTGCTCCACAAGAGTAACATCAACAGTGAAAGAAGCTGTCACGTCTAAGAAAGGCCTTGCAAATCCTTGAGTCATCAATGGGGGACCACCCTCAATGCATGCTCTTCCTCATGTTTCCTTGTGTCCGATCACGTGCAAGCTGCCATTAGAGTCTCCTCTGGTAGGCTGAGCTTCTCCTCGGTTGTCTAGGCGGCCGGAACTCATGCGCAGCAACAAGAAACCCAACCCGGATGCTGCATAAATGAATGCATCCTCGGAGATTGATATTATTGATATGTCACAACCAGGATGAGGAATCATGCGAATCCATTGGTCCTGGTATTTGATGGCATTTGCATCAGTACAGGAAAGTTCAACCCCCCAAGTGGTTTCCAATGGTTACCATGACTGGCAGAAGAGATAACCATCATCAGAATCCACGCAGTGCGTCTACCCTGTTCGACTCACCAGCTTGGGAGAAACGCCGTCCGCAAGGCCCCAAGCTTCCCCAGGGAGCAACCACAACAGGCGCGACCAACTCAAACCCAGAATCCAACGGAAAGATCTCTGGCCAAGGGCCTGCCTCGCCCAGAGCAGTGCAACCATCACAGCGCATGGCATGCAGCCGGGTTCTCAGTCGGTGCTGAAGACTTGATTCACCCATCCTTCATTGGTTTGGAGTGTTGGGCCATGTTGGGCCCAAACATGATCAGTTTCAAGATTGCATCTAGCGCAGTCGAGCCAAACAAATCATGAAAACCACTGAAGCACGTGTACGATGGTCTCCTGTGCTGGGACAAGGAGGTGAAATGTTGGCACTGGTCAGTTCAGAGGTATTTACCATCCCTCCAACACCCCCCGTTTTTTGATGAAAATTGTCTTCTACGGGTCAAATTTACACTTCCATGATTCTTGGTCGGAGAGAGGATTATACTTTTGACATGCTTAGTAGTACGGCACTCCGTGATCAGGAAGTTGGAGCGGGGGAAAAAAGAGTCAAACCAAGGCCATGTTCAACTATGTTACATGGAACATGTGGATGTGACTGTGAGTCAAATCCTGGCCATGGCGCCATGGCCAGAAAGCGAGCATCCACAAATTGAGCAGAAGCACTTGGAATCGCCCACCTGGGTGTTCACCTATCCTGTTTTATGTTTTATGTTGACTCTTTCTAAACAATTAAAACGTAACGGGTTGAGCACTCCTGGCAGTGCAGCTTTTCAGCATTTTGGGGATAGATAATTCACCTCAGCACGTTCAATCTTGAAGTAGCTGCTCCTGTACTGCAGCCACCTTTCCTTGAATATTATGTTACCACTAAGTATTTTGTTCCAATCCACTATTGGTTTGATTTGGTTTGCATCCCTTTCTCTTGTTGAAAAAAGTTCCTCCATTCCTCTCTGTTTTTCTATGCACTTCTTGCCCCCTTTTCACATCTTTCATTGTTGTTTTTTCCATAAGATGCTCCTATTCAAAAGAATGTGGCATCTTTTTTGAGAAGTTGCTTACTGTAGCTCTTTCTATGATCAAATTCTGAGAAGCAACGCACACAAAGGATTGATTGGCCGCTATCATTGCAATATGTTGTTGCTCTTTAATTTTAGCTCCTTTTGGTTAATCAGCGGCTCCTCTCTTCTAGGATAACTTGTTTCATGCAGTACTTCCAAAGTTGTGATCCTTGCAAAGGAACATCCTTCTGTGAAGATCAAGTCCTTAATGGAGGCATTCATACGGTCAATGTCCTATCAATCAGGGATGAGAATGGTAAAGAGAATCAGTATGGAGGAGGTTTTGGATAAGGTGGTATGCTTGCACGTATATAGGTGCAGGTTCCATAAAGGGTTGTGTGTTGCTAAAGATGTGAAGGCACTTATAAAATACTGTGTTGAAGAATCAGATCATACCGTATCATATCCAATTCCATTGTTAGAATCGTAGAAGGAAAGGATGATCGTGTCTTTCCAACAATTGGATTGGATATTATCGCATATCATGAAGGAAGGAAAGGATGGACTTTTAAAGTTCGATCCTGAAATTTGCTTCATATATAGTAGACTTGTAGATCAATTTAAGGAACACCTCTGTAAGACTTTGTAACTATATATAATCATCAAATGCAACATCAAACTTGCTAAACAAATGCACTGCCACAACTGCCCGCCCTCTAACAAAAGATGTAGAACCAGTCTGGTAGGGGGGTTCTTAATCAACAGTCAACATTCGTCAATCATTCGTCGATGATCGACAGCCATGGCATGCGCCATGTTTCTGCCAAGCTGCCCGGACGGTCCGGACAAAATGAAGGAGACCGCCTCGGACTCCGAGATCGCCGCCTCGCGCCGCCAAAAGACCTCCTCCGCTTCACGGTAGGGGTCCTGAGCGCGGATGTGTGAAACCCCGTGTGCCTTCGGAGCGCGGACCTGGGACCATTCAGAAGACAAGGGCGGCAAAGAACAAGGGCGGGGGGAGCGTTTCTCCAAAAAAGCGGTGGACACTCTGAGCAGTCAGTGCCCTTGCAGGTAACGTCGTGCACGGAGTGTCGAAGCAGCACATGAAAGATCCCCAAAGCTGAAACAAAATAGAAGTTCTGGCGGTTCGGTCGCTCTTCTCAGCTCTCCCAAACCGGTAAGGTGAGCGACGGAAACCGTCAGAGCAGGTTGTTGGGCTTTGGGTGTGCACACCCAACTTGTGCCAAGGCTGGAAAAGGTGGTGGAACATGGTCTGCGGGACTCCTGGACTTTCCGAGCCCTCCTATCCTTGAATAAGCTCCAAGCAAGCGGAGTTTTTCTGAGTGAATTATTGCAGCGCTTTTGACACCTCACTGGGAATACCGTGGGCTAGGACAGTGGCCATGCCCGGCCTCGGCACTGATCAAGGTCTCTCCATCAGTGAGCAACAGGAAGCCGCTCAAGGTCTTTACAATGTAGGCCCCCTCCTTCTGGCGGAGAGTCACATACACACACACACACACTTACACATGCGTGCCAGTTTAGCACAAACAAGTCAATATTTCAAGCAAGGATAGCGAGAGGGCGCCCTTTTGTACATTCACAGGCTGCATTTGATCAAAATAATGCTAACTATATGTGGTGGTTGATCAAACATTCCTTCTGGCTGAAAGGTCTTTCTTCACCACTAACAAATATACTTTCGCGAACTCCATGTTTAACTTTCGCGGGGGGTATATCCTCCAGACATCTTCTTGGTTTTAGTGGTTTTACATAACAACCTAACATAGCCTAACCACTTCCATCTGTCTGTTTAGGGGTTTGTTCTGCACCCAAACAAACTAGCCGGCCTCTTCCTAGGTGGTCGTTTCATGCTGATCTAGAACAGCAGCGAGAATTCGCGTGCACAAACGATCCAGGACAGACACCGCGTGTACACAGGATCCGGATTCTGCGAGTCCAGGCAAACCCGGTCCCTTGGGCAGGGGTCAACAGGCCTTCACATTCGCCGACGCTTTCGCGGAACTTTCGCGAATCTTTCGCCAACAAATGTCGCGTCATTGGTGGGTTTCCAGGCCCAAAGCGAAACAACAAAAGAGTTATATACTATACAGCCTAGGGATTGTGCATAGCAAGTGTGCACTACATATATATTTGTATATGTATACATAGTTCTAACATAGAGTATGTAGGATCTTTCGCAGATCTTTCGCGAATAAACAATTTACTTTTCGCGAACTCAAATGAACAACTTTCGCAAACAACTTGAAGAGGCCCTCAGTGACATAGGCCTTATGTCGACCTTTCGATCCACTATCATACATACATATATGTATATCTACAGTAAAGATTTGTCAGTTGCATAAGTCAAAATCCACACGCATCGCTTTTAATGACACTCTATGCAACGATGCAAGCTGTAGGTTCCATCTCACTGCATCACGCTTCTCCAGAATGGCTTGTTCCATCGTGGCCGGCACTCCTCCACGTCTCTGTCTGCACTGGCACCTAGGACTCTAAGACTCTCCAGCATTGCAACCGATTGATTGCACCAAAAAGCATCAAGTGGGAGGGAACAACATCCCATGCCAGTCAGCAAAATCCACAAGTGAACAAATTAGGTCTAAGCCCTGTTACTTCCAGGACTCCTGAAGAAGAATAGCAAAGGATTTGATTCAGAACGATTTGCGATTCATCAAGCTCAACTAGTAACTAGAAATTTGTCTTGAAAAACTGCCTCTTATATTCTCTGACCTGTCTGGGTGCCTTTTCTGGACTTCGACCCTTCTTCTCGCGCATGGACCACCATTTTCACAACACCTCTGAACACCTTTGAAGGGAAACAAAGCCTCGAACAAACACACTCACGCCTATCCCAGTTTCATGCCAAGATTCTGATCTGCCAAATGCTGGGATTCTCTGCTTCTTCCACTTTACCGTCCTGCTGGCCGGGGTGACGGTACC